AAAACAAAAGCTGGAAGTGGTGCTGTGGCTCAAGTGGTAGAGCGCTGGCCTTGAACATAAAAGGGAAAGCACCATGCCCTGGGTTCAAGCCCCAGGAATAGCCTGCTTTTTGATGGTCAATTGGAGACTCTCCTGCCTTTGAGCTGTGGTCCTTAGTTCTCAGTCTTTTGAGAAGTTAAGATTATAGGTGTGAGCCACTGTCCCCTGCTGCAGAGAATTTATATTCAGTAGAACCTTCAAGGCATGTTGTTGGGAGGGTTTTGTTTGTCTGAAAGTGAACAGATTTGTATCTCAGTGGCTGTGGCTGGTTATCAAGATTGCTTAGACTCAAGTGGACCAGAGTTTTCTAAAATTTCAGACTTGTTAGTTATCTCATTTCCTATACTCGTCAGTAGTGTGCAAGTTTTAATTTAGTACAGTATGAAAGATGTTTCCCCTTGCCGGGCGCTGGTGGCTCACGCCTGTAATCCTAGCTACTCAGGAGGCTGAGATCTGAGGATCGCGGTTCAACGCCAGCCCAGGCAGGAGAGACCGTGAGACTCCTATCTCCAATAAACCACAAGAAAACCGGAAGTGGCACTGTAGCTCAAGTGGTAGAGCGCTCGCCTTGAGCTGAAGAGCTGAGGGACAGCGCCCAGGCCCAGAGTTCAAGCCCCACGACCGACAAAAAAAAAAAAAGAAAGATGTTTCCCCTTGTTTATGAGAAAAAAGAGGAAAGTATAAAAAAAGACAAAATCTTGATGGTTATTTTTAACTTTTTAAAAGATGTCACAAAACCATGAGTTTGCCTGGAAAATTCTTACATGAAATTTTAAGACTAAGACAAAACTATATACTTAGAAGTCGAATCACTAAATATTTAATGTTTTTATAGAGTCCAGGCATTTACATTTTTGAAAGATTTGGAATACATACAAAAAATTGAAAACAATTTAGAAAAAAATCGTTTTGGTGTCCAGTGCTTACTAGCGTTTCAAGAAAAACCGTCTCAAGGGGCAAAAACTCACAACTCATTACATACATATCTTGCCACAAGGAATTTTCTATAATCTGGTTCAGTATCTGAGCTGTGTTGAAGTCAGCGATTTGTACATTCTGTGGCTTCTTCTCCTCCCCCCTCCCTTTTCAAGTCAGCTTCCAGACTTCTGAGAATAGAATCGGTGCCAGGAATGACTCAAATTTTCCTACCTTTGAGTTGAGTTTGTTTCTTGATTTCTGTGTATTTCTCAAAACAAGTTGTGTGGACCACATTTTGAAATCAGAAGGGATTTCTGAAGCCTATTAGCTATTGATACTGGATATGTATCACCAGCATATGCACCCATGTTGCTCTGCTTTGAGCTGCTATCTCTCAGCTCCTACTACTGGGCTGTGGTGATGACAGGAGTCTGTTAAGCTCTGCACAAGTCTGCATCCCCTCTTGTGTAAGGGAACTCTAACATGACGGGGATCCATCAGATTCGCTCAGGACCTGGCACTTCCTGGAACCTCTGGGTGCGTTCACATGCAGCATATCCCAAATGCTCCTCTCCATGAACTTTCTCAGAGCATCCTATGAATTTGCATTTGAATAGCACATCTGCATCAATGTAATTTACTCATTCTAGTAGTATTTGGAAATACAAATTCATTTTAGCATGTTCAGAATTTATTTAATTATTTTTTGGAGTTTGGACTCAGGGCCTCACACTCTTTCTTGCCTTTTTCACTCAAGGCTGGTGCTCTTCCACACCTCACCCACACCTCCACTTCTATAAGAATCTCATGAACTTTTCCGCCTGGGCTGGTTTTGAACCATGATCCTTAGTTCTCAGCCTCCTGATCAGCTATTCTGTGTCAGTCACTGGTATATGTAAACAACAGGAAAGAGCTGGAGGATTTTCTTTGCTTAGGTTTTGTTTTCTTTTCCTCCAAAGCATCCATTCTCCTGTCAGCTACCATCAGTATGGACTGAACTTCCAATGTAGTACCTAATAATTGTTACTATCATTTATAATTTGCCTTCTTACTTTTTGTCTTCTTCCTCCTAAAGAGAGCTGTTGTTTCTATTGTTCTGAAAGCATTTCACCTCTAGCAACCACCTAAGACACAACTGAGCTCATAGAGATCTAAGTCAATCAATATGATTGACATCACTATGTCTTCAATTAACTGATCAGCTAATCAATCATGAATTGAAGAGGTCCTAAATAATCTTGAATAATCCTTCATCGAACCAGCCTTTTCTAAATCATCAAAATTTCTGAAAACTTACCAGGCACTAGTTGGTGGCTCACGCCTATAATCTTAGCTACTCAGGAGGCTGAGATCTGAGGATTGTGGTTTAAAGCCAGTCCAGGCAGGAAAGTCCATGAGACTCTTATCTCCAATGAAACACCAGAAAAACAGATGTAGAGGTATGGCTCAAGTGATGGAGTACCAGCTTTGAGCAGAAAAAAAGTCAAGTGAAAGCCTAAGACCATGAGTTCAAGACCCTAGACTGTTACAAAAAGGGTGGAAGGACTGAGTATATGAAAAATGTGTTTAGTTTTTGATTAATGAACTGGAGCGGAGGAGTCCAGCAGTCCTAGGTATTCTCTCTCTTGCTTCTCCTGACTCCCTGTGATACTGGCAATGATGATGAAAAGTGGGTGGCAGAGCCAAGCTTCTGTTTTCTGCTGCTTCTTAGAGATCTTTTCTTTTTTCCTCTTGTGCCAGCACTGGGGCTTGAACTCAAGTTCTAGATAAGGTGCCTTAGCCTTCTATTCAAGGCTGGCACTTACCTCTTGAGCCACAGCTCCACTTCTGACTTTTGGAGTGGTTAATTGGAGATAAGAGTCTCAGGGATTTTCTGTCTGGACTGACTTCAAACCATGATCCTCAGATCTCAGCCTCCTGAGTTAGAATTATACGAGTGAGCTACAATGTTCAGCAGTAGTCTTTGGAGACACAGTGGGGTGTTTCCTCGTGCGTGAGAGGTTCTGACCTCGGATCCCAAGCCCTCTCTCTTCTCTTGAGCATTTAAAAAATGTTCAACAGGCTTTTACTTTTTTTTTAATTCAGAATTCAATATGCAAAAATCTATTTTTTCCAACGAGTACTATTTGTTGTTTTTAATTGTTTAAACACAGATAGCACTTTCCTAATTCCATTTAGTTTGTGAAATTACAAACAAAATAAACTAAAGACAATCAAAAGGCCTTTTAATTGTGGATTCCTGACTCAGTCGTCTGACAGAGGCACAGGGCGGTATTTCGCCTCCTCTGACTTGTAACGTGAATCAGCATGTAGGAAACGTGGCTGAAACCACAACTCCAAACTTGGAGGGGCAGAACACTCCTGAGTTGGGAACTGTTTGTTCATAGTTTTGGGTATCTATGATTTGCATGGTTTTGTTAGACAACAGACTTTGGTCCACTTCTATTTAACATTCCTTAAAATAAATCAAAGGCTGTTTCCACTTTGCATGTGGATTAGTGTGCTGGAGGAATGAAGAACTAACCATCGTCTAGTGTCCGGGGTGATGGATGGGATTCTAGGCTGGAATGCCTTCATTGATGGTTTTTTGTTTTTTTTTTCTTTTTTGGTAGCATACAATAGAGCCAGCTCTGGCTGGCTTAGGAAAAATGTCAGTGGCACTAAGGTACCCTATCTATCTGCTAGTATTCAAGAGTTAGAAAGAGAAGCAGGAAGCAGGGCTCCTGACGTCAGAAGCACAGGTTCCTCTCTCTCTCTGGGATAAAGTCGGGTGGGCAACTTACCATTTGGTTTTCACAGGAGGCTCAGCAGCACATCGGCTAGCCAGGGTGACGCCACAGAGGAGCATGGGCACACATGCCTGTCCACTGCTGTTGTCCACTGTACGTCATCTCCAGAGGAGGACTAGTTAACACTCCACCCATGGAAGGAAATATCACATGGTCTACTACGTGGAAGTGGAGACTTGCTTAACTCTTCACAAAAAGGTCTATTTCTACCACATCATTGAGAAAACAGAAACTTGAGTTTGTAGGTAATAGACATTCTCTCATGGAGCAATGATTTAGCCTACAGGGTATTAGAAAGAACAGGACTAACTACATGTTCAAAGTACTAGGCCTAACCCCCAATCTCACCCTGTCATTATAGGCAAGAAGAAACCTTATCTACTTGATAAACAAATAGGGATCTATGCATCTCCATTCACAGGCTGGTGACATTAATATGTGAAAATGCTCAGCTCAGAGCAGATATACATCCCATCCACTAATGAAAATACACTACTACACTACAAAGTTTAAAAGTTGTTATATCATCCAAAAAAACCCCTAAATGAACAGGGTGCTAATGGCTCATACCTGTAATCCAAGACATTTAGGAGGTGGAGATCTGAAGACTATGGATTGAGGTCAGCCCGGAAAGGAAAATCCATGAGACTCTTATCTCCAAATTAACCAGCAAAAAGGCAGAAGTGGCGCAGTGGTTCAAGGAGCAGGGTACCAGCCTTGAGTGACAAAGCTGAAGGAAAGCTTGAGGTTCCAAGTTCAAGTTCTAGCACCCACACACAAAAATTAACCAAAGGGAATAAGAAAAATAACTGTGGTAGTAAAAGGTGGAGGAAGGTACAGACTAGGAAGTCTCTTGACGTAAGTCTATGTTCTCTAGTCCTTTGGCAGCCTTGTATGTTTATACCCAGCTAAGTCACATGTGAGCAACTTGTAAAGTTGTCCTATCATTTGTTGATAAGGATGACAAGTGCTTTGTGAACCATGGCGCACAATGGCTTATCTACTAGAGTTGGACTGAATTTAAAGCTTTCTCCTTTACTAAGTTGCAATTCAAGTTAATGACTTGCTTTAAACTTTAATTAAATTTCTAAGAGAAAACCAAGTTGTTTTTAACAGTTAAAGATTCTTGGTAAATATTTCAAGCACTTTGGGGGGTGTTTGTAAAAGCATCATAATATGTGAGTATTTTTGAGAAAGGAAAATAAGTGAAAAGAAAAGGAAGAATTGGGGGAAAAAAAGGAATAAGATTAACCAAAGTTTTTGGAGTTCCTTTTTATTACACTGAGAAATCCCAGAAAAGTACAAAGCCCTTGAAATTAGAAGCACTTCAGAAAATAAGATGACATCTGCATACATACATTTCATTGACATTTTGATGTTAAAAATACTCATGATTTTGTATTGAAGCACAATGCTCATGAATTAACATTCTGAAAAGATTTCATATATCCTGTATTTGAACTGCATTCCCATAAATGTGTGAGTTCTATTCTCAAAGATTAAGTTTTCAGTTCAACTTAAAACAGAACCGGTCATGGATTAATAGAGCCTTTGCAAAGCAAACCCACAGGAAATAGACCCACTTGGTGAGTTTAATTGATATGTCAGATCATAGCTGAAATTACAATCTTCAGTATTTTATTTGCATGATGTTTTTAGCAGAACAACAAATATACATATAGATACAATTGCAGAAAAGAGGTTAGGGTAATCAGAATTATTATCTATTATATCAGCATTTTATATGCCAGTAGCACAGATAAATAGGTGCTGAAATCCATGCTATTTCTATCCTTAAAATCAAGTAAATACAATTTAGCGTTTTCTCAGAAATCATCCCGAAACAATCAAGATCCTTATTCCTTTTGCAAAATACAGAGCAAATGGGGTACTGAAGCCTGCAAAGTTTACATGACTCTACCGCATTGTAAAGTTTACATGACTTCTGAGTTGACACAACTTTACATGACTGTAAAGCTAGTGTGACTTTTGAGAATGTGGCACTTTTTCATTGATTTGGGGTCATACTATACTCTGCTGCTGTTACTACTAATAATAAAATAATAGGGTGGGAAGAGAAAACATTGAGAAAATAAATTAGATTCCTTGATAAGTTCCTGTAAATGTTGTTCTGATGTATCCTTGGATGGGAACTAATGCTGGGAGGTGTGAAGAAAGAACAAGAGCATCTTTACACTCACAGCATGTATTTGAGAGGTCAGTGCCAGGCGAGGTGAACACACCATGTCTCTACTCAATGTCACTGGGCTCAGTGGCAATCAGGGCACTCAGCTGTTTCTGTGCGCAGGACAGGAATAGCTCCAAGCTGGACAGGCTTCTTTGGCGAATGACTTGATCAAGCTGTTGATTTGTTTAAAGATAGAAAGAGAAAGAGAGAGAGAGAGAAAATAAAAAAGAAATCTGATAAGAGGTAGAGAATATGATGTCAATGAAAAGTTAGACCAACATTTTCAAATGAGATAATTTAGAAAGCCAAATAAGGCTTTCAACTAGGCAAAAATAAAGTCATTATTTCTGGCCTAGCATCTAACACAAGAGGATGGGTCACCATTCAAAATTTAATAAATCATTTTGAGTGGGGCACCGGTTTCTCACACCTGTAATCTTAGCCTCCCAGGAGGTTCAGATCTAAGGATCACAGTTCAATGTCAGCCTAGGCAGGAAAAGTCTGAGAAGACTCATTTCCAATTAACCACCAAAAAGAAAAAAAAAAAAGGGGGGGCTGGAAGTAGTGCTGTGGCTTAAGTTGTAGAGTGCCAGTCTTGAGCAAAAAAGTTCAGGGACAATGGCCAGCCCATGGGTTCAAGACCCAGGACTAGCACAAAAATTTGTTTTAGTAACTGATTTTGATTTTCGGGAACACAGATGTTAATATACGAGATCAGAATGATTTTTAGAAAATGTAGGGGTATAAGAATGCTTGATTTAGCTGGATGCTATGGTTCAGGAGTATAATTCTAGCTACTCAGAGGGCTGAGATCTAAGGATTGTGGCTTAAAGCCAGCTTGGGCAGGAAAGTCCATGAGATTCTTCAATTAACCAGCAAAAAGCCAGAAGTAGAGGTATGAATCAAGTGGTAGAGCTCCCGCCTTGCAAAAAAGCTAAAAGACAGCTCACAGACCCTCAGTTTAAGCCCCAGTACCTGTGTACACTACACTACACTACACTATACTACACACACACACACACACACACACACACATACACACACACACCACACACACACACACACACACACAAATCTAGAATTTTGGATGTTAAAGATAGTATGGATTTAGTATCCAAAAGGAATATTCTTTGAAGAATAGATATGTAAAGATAAAAATGTGACAAGTTTCTATTTAAATATTCTAATTTCTTCTCTTGTTTGTGTTAAAGTCACATAGGTTAAAGTCATGGTGACTCATGCCTAGCTAGTGGGAGGCTAGGATCACTGATTGAAGCCAGTCTAGGCAAAAAAGTCTGACTCTTATCTCCAATTAACCACCAAAAAGCTAGAAGTGGAGGTATATCTCAAGTGGTAGAGCAACCAGCCTTAAGGAAAAGGCTTTGAGTCCAATCTCTAGAATGCACACACACACACACACACACACACACACACACACACACACACACACACACACACACACACAAGTCATCTGAATTACTGACTATAAGGTGATATTCACATCACTTTTGGTTTCATGAAGCTGTCAAGGTTCATTTCTCATCACTCCCTGGGCCTCCCAATTACTCTTTGAAGGTAAAAATCCATTCAATGAACACATGCTCAAAAAGTGTACATGCAATTTGATAATGTAGGCTCTCTGTATGGGGAGAGAGGAAGCTGGGCGAATTTCGCAGCTCTGCCCAGACGTAGCACGTAAGGCTGAGAGAAGCGAGTGTGATTACGTGACACCAGATTTTTCTTTATGAAGCAAGTATCTCAAGTCTATGTTCCTGGCTAATTCTTGATCTCTAAATATTTCTGTTTAGACAAGACCATATCCTTTTCCCGAGTCAAGAACAATTCTGGCAAAATATTCAACTGCTTGCCCTTGTTGGAATAGGCCTTAATTCTACATGTGTGGCTTACATGTCAAAATGATCAATATGTACTCATGTGGGAGCTGGTGGCTCAGATCTGTAATCTTGTCTACGCAGGAGGATGAGATCCAGGATCATGGTTCAAAGCCAGCCTGGTAAGGCAAATCTGAGCGACTCCAGTTATCTCCAGTTAACCAGCACGAAGCTGGCAGTTAGAGGTATAGCTCAAGTGATGGAGCACCAGCCTTGAGCAAAAACAAAGAACAAGTGAGAGCACAAGGCCTCGAATTCAAATCCCAGTACCAGCACCAAAAAGGAAACACACACACACATATTTTGTCCTTAGCTAGTATTTCTCAGCCACAAGAATGCAATATGAAGGATACACCTGTCTAAAGAGCAATAAAAAGTAATCAGCCAATAAAATGTAATCGGCCTCATTTTAATGCGCTGTTCATTAAAAATAATGTTCATTTCTTAAAACACCTATTTGTGTGTATGTGTGTGTATGTTTGTGCTGTTTGCTCAAGGCTGGTGCTTTACCACTTGAGCCATACTTCTACTTCCAGTTTTTTGCTGATTAATTGGAGATAAGAGTCTCATGGATTTTCTTGCCTGAGTTGGCTTTGATCTCAGTTTGTTGGAGCCTGGATTCTACAGGCATGAGCCACAAGTGCCTAGTGTGATGTATTATTTTTAAAATAAATATACGTGCCCACATACACCTTTTTTCTGTTATATTAAGTACTAAGGGTTTTATCAATAACTGCTGAACTTCTACAAGCAAAATATTCTGATAGTTATGAAAGTATCAGGTTTACTAATATTACTTTTCCAACCTACATTGTACATATCTTAATTTTATGATCTTGTTTTACAAAAGCTAGATAGCAGCTATAACTGATATCAGACCAAATTTTCAACCTTGGTGTTAAACTGTGCCAAGCTTCCCTCTCTCATCAGTGAACCTTAATAAAATTGCGATATTATGTGCTGTATTAATGAAGGTTGTCTTGCATCATTTTTTTTTGTGTGTGTATACACGTGCACTGGTCCTAGTTCTTGAGTTTTTTCACTCAAGGTTGGCATTCTACAACTTGAGTCACACCTCCGCTTCTGGCTTTTTGGTGGTTAATTGGTGCTAATCGTCTTAGGAACTTACCTGCCCAAGCTGGCTTCAAACCTCAATCCTTAGATCTCAGCCTCATAGTTAGGATTACAGACATGATCCACTAGCAACCTGGCCTCTAGTACCTGTTTTGTTGCTGGTTACACTCACCCCCCGTAAGTTTTTTCTCTTAAAAGAGTCTTTTGTTCATATTTTCAGGTAAGTAAATTTGATGTGAGCGGGCTCCCCTGTAGGTAAAGCTGTAGCTTGGTCATGAAATTGCCCTCTCTGGGAATAGTATTGTAAATCATGTGGAAAGGGATTTTGAGACAATTTCAGGGTAATTAGTGTTACATAAAATACATGTTTAGAACCAGTCAGACTCTGAAAGACCCAGTGCAGTCTGGGCAGTGGTTTGCATGAAAGCAATGCCAGTGCCTTGACCCTGACCTTGAGAACACTTAGGACTAATGTACTGTGAACTTTTGCTGGCTCACCCTTGATGCTCCATCAGGACCCAGCACACTTGTCAAATTATATTCTACATCAATGTTGATAGCTCAAGAATGTCACATTATCAAACAACAACAGCAACAAAAGAGCTGTGTAACTTTCCATCGAGTACAAGATGAATTACAGATGCTCTTTGAACTAAATGAGACATGAGTATAAAGTATCTTAAACCCCACTGGCCACAACTAAAGGACTGTGCTCTCATTGTTTGTTTTTGTTTAAGATGTCTCAGGGAAGGAAAAGTCTCTGAGCCACCTAAAGGAAGCTGTACATATTTGGGTAGTTGTGCCATTTTATCCTAAACTACCACAGACTCCCCTGGGGAATGGAGAGGCACATTTCTATCTACCATTAAATCTTCTGGACAGAATAAATGACTGTACCCCAGACTCTACTGCATACTCAGTCCTGTGGGACATAACAACTTAGCAACACTGGGCCAGGTAGCCTGGGCCCTGTGGAGGTGCTGTGATTGTTAGTACAGACTGCAAAAGTAGTATAGACTTTTTCTTATTAAGCATCACTATGACAACTCAATGAATTTGAGAAGAGTTCTCATCATAACTGTTTTACTTCTCAGAGATCTTGCAAAGTGTCCCGAATAACTACAAACAAAAACAAACCACCAAAAAAGAATGCCCTCAGCCAAAGAATTCTAGACAATTCCTCCTTTTTTTTTTTTTTTTGCCAGACCTGGGGCTTAAACTCAGGGCCTGGGCACTGTCCCTGAGCTTCTTTTACTCAAGGCTAGCACTCTACCACTTGAGCCACAGTGCCACTTCTGGCTTTTTCTGTTTATATGGTATTGAGGAATCGAACCCAGGGCTTCATGCATGAGGTAAGCACTCTATCACTAAGCCACATTCCCACCCCCCCATTTCCTTTCTGTTTGACTTTTATACCAATTTAAAGTCAATCTTACTTTGAAGTAGCAAGAAAATTCCACAACTTCTCAGGTTCTTATCTTCCTTCCTTCTTTTCCTCTTTTCCTGTTCCTTTTCCCTCTTTCTCTCTCCTCTCTCTCACTTTTTTCTCTTTCTTTCCTTCCTTCCGTCTTTCTTTTCCTTCCTTCTTTTTCTCCCTTCCTCTTCTCTTCTCTCCTCCTTCCCCCTCCCCTCTCCTCACAAGTCCGTTTGTGAATACAATGTACCTAGAGCTAGATCAATGTCACCCTTTCCATTGTTCTCCCTCATCTCTCTCAACCCTACAACCCCCCCCCCCCCCCCTTCAAGGTACCTGGTCCTACATTGCCTTTAAATTCCTTAAATGGAGAAGGGCACTGGTGGTTCATGCCTGCAACCCCAGCTACTCAGGAGGTTGACATCTAAGGATCTCAGTTCAAAGTCAGTTCATGCACGAAAGTTTGTGAGACTCTTATCTCCAAGAAACTACTCTAATAAAGCTGGAAGTGGAGCTGTGGCTCAAGTAGTAGTGTGCTAGCTAGCCTTGAACATTCAGTGCACGCAGGCACTGACTTCAAGTTCCAGAACTGGTGGCATGCATGTGTGTGTGTGTGTGTGTGTGTGTGTGTGTGTGCGCACACGCACGCCCGCCCGCCCCCCCCCCCCCCCCAGACAGCCAGAATGCATGCACCAAGAAAGCAAAGCAGATCCCAGGATGAAAGCCACATTTGTTTTTTCTTATTGTAACTCGTGCAGCCCAGCTCAGTCTTTTGGCTAAGGGTTATATAGAG